AAATGAAAAGCACTTAATAAGAAAAATATCTTTCTTCATATCATGAATAAGTAATAAGCATAGGAATTTTGTTGCGGAAGTATGCAAATTGTGTTGTGCCAAAAAGGAGCAATAATATTCTTTACCCTTACTAGATTTGCTATAAAGAAAATTGGCTAATTTAAAGTTTGAATAGTTCTAAAGACCGGCTAGGCAAAGAAGATACTAGCTCTCACTCTAGAGTTCCCTCAATTCCCTTCACCTGGGGGCTAACATCTCGTATCAAAACCTAAAATAATAAACCAAGTTGGGGGTTTTAACATGTCACTTTAAAGTCCTCTAACTCTGCACCCTTCAATGAATATTTTCCTATTTATTTGAACTCAATCATATGAACTACATTCTCATTCATACAACCTCATGTGATTCTTTCCAATTATTGACTGAGACAATACCAGCCCGGTTCTTACATGTTCTCACAACATATTTTAACTTCTGGATTGGCCAAATCAAGAAGTAAATGAAGTGCATGGATTTAAATCATCACAACTTCTTCCAACATTAAGGATCAATACTCTCCACAACTTCTATCCAAATCTTAATTACTTATCATTTTAAGAAGAAAGTTAAAGAAAACTACTTAGAATCCATGGAGAAAATAAAACCACACTTTAGTTTAAAAGTAGAAATCAATGTCAAACCAACAAGTCTCAATTAAAACCAAAGTAGTCTCAAAGCAAAACGATAAAAACTTATCTCAAGTTCTCCACCAAACTCTTGAAGTTCATTTGAATCTCTTCTCTTTACAATCACTCAAAATAAACTAACAAAAGGATAAAATAAAAGTAAAAGTAGTGCCTGAAAATCTCTCCGAACTAACTCCCTAAATTGATGAACTTTCAAAATTTTCCAAGTATTTTCAGGACTCTTTTTAAAGTCCTCTCTTCTTTCTTTTATAGCTTTCTAAGAGGTGCTTTGGAAACTCTTCAAAATATGTCTAGATTCGATGTATTTTCCCAAGAGATGCATTCTTTCATGATAATTTTTGTCCTGTGTGGGTATAACCACCTATTAAGCCAATGAGTGTCTTAAAACCCTCTTCAAAATTTGCAAAAACCGACTTTACTCGTCTAGTAACTTCCACTGGCGCTTAAGCGCGGGACCACTGGCGCTTAGGCGCGGCCTTCTCTGTTTAACTAGCGGATAAGCGCCGGATCTAGCGCTTAGGCACCAAAACTCATTTGCACATTTTTCACCTTTTTGCTCCAAATTTGATCATTTTTCACTCCTTTAAGCATTTTTGTCCTTTTTATTTGTATCTGCAAGAAAAACACAAAAATACCTTCCACTAAAGCGCAATATCCAAAAAATAGGTATAAAAATGTGTCTAAAAGCACTATATATTTTAAGTATATCACTAACCACGGATTTAGAAACTAAACCTGGATTAGCCAACGATTCTGTATAACTCTTGACTAAGGGTAGAGAATTAAAATTGTTCTTATTTGGCACAATACAAATTCAAATCATTTATTTCTCTCATTAACCAAAAACTCGTTGTAGTGGGAAAGATGTTTTCTCATATTGGATAACTTCATCACAAAAACATAGTTTGATACTTATTGTTTAGCTTTGCTTTACAATTTTGTTAGTAGTTGATAATTTAGTTTTGATCGCACATTAAATATTTGGAATTAGTGTAGTAGATTTTCCTTATTGTTGTGAATTTACTAATTTAAATTTCATTTAAAATCTAAACCTTCCTCGTGGGATCGATATTTGTGGCTTAAACGAAAAGTCTTGTATTACTTAATCCTACATTACTTGATAACGATGTGTAACTTGTGTAGAATTCCAACATAAATTGCTTCAATTTTTTATTCATAAATAACGAATCATGTTTTTGGCATCCGCATCCCTGCAAAGCGGAGTCAACTTTATTAATTTTACACAACTATACTTTCGGGGATCTTTGAGCTTCTTCAGGAGTCTATGAGAAGAACTTTTGGTGTTGGTTGATGTTCTTTTCGGAGGTATTGGATGGACATTATTCCAGTCTTCTTCTTTTGTATAGTGGTTAAGCAGTTCCATGTCTTCACTGAAGACAACACTGACAGATACTTATTTTGGCTCCTTTAGCTATTCCTTAAGAAAAATTATGGTTTCATCCTTATGATTCCAATCAAGCTATTCTTTGAATATGAAATACTTCTATTGTACAGTCCAACATCTTTGGTATGAATGATAATTAGGTTTCTTGTCTCTTCCCACTAATTCTAGTTTAATGGGCTTAGGTAGTTTAAAGTTTAGATTATTTGATAAATTATTGAACATATTTTTAATTTTAATTTTTTTTCACTAAAAGTGTATAAACATAATTTAGAAAATCATATATTTAATTTTTAACACTAAAAATGGAATGACTTTTGAGGATTTTGTGATACTGCATTCATACTTTATTTGGGTGGAAGAATAGAAGCTAGTTATAGTAAGTCGATAAGGAGAGACTTATCCTTAGAAAGCTTGAAACACTAAAAAACATACTATGGTAGAACTTGCGTAGTTTTTACAGTAATTAGAAGGCACAGTTAGTACTTAAACAGAATATCCCCCCCCGTGCTTTGCGTTGCATTCTTTGATTTGTCTGATTCTATTTCTGAGCAAAAGAAATTGTTCTTTATTCTTGAATGCATTTTGTAATTTTTATTTGTGAAATTTGCTTCATCTTGTATTAGAGAAATGACTCTATTTTCATACTTAATAGTGACGTTGTATTGATCAAACTGTTATAAATCTACAAGCATACTTGGCTACAAACACACCATCCATAAATTGATTATTATTAAACAAGAAATAAAACAGAAGTTGAGATTTCATTCTTTATTAAGATCTTCATCTGAGTATTTTGTGCTCTTGCTTCCAGTTACAAGCGTAATAGCTCTTGATTAATGCTGCAATGGATTCTGATTAGTATGACCTATTGTTTTATAATAAAGATTGACATAGATTCAATTAAGTTGCAAAGAATGATGACAAAGTTGATCAAAATTTCATAAATCGCCATGTTCTACGATTAATAACCCAAACTGGCTTGGCATATTCTTATCAGCTCCTAAATTTTAAGTCTGATTATCTGAGCATTTTTATATGAAATTTGCTTTTTTTTAAGTTTAACCAAACATTGAATTTGAATGCTACTTGCTTGACCGCAACCATCAGTCATTTTGGTTTCATTCTGATTCTCTATGATGGCAACAAAATCACATAATTCCATTTAATCTGGTATTTAATTAATTTGTTAAAACATTTTTTGGGTGCATTTTGTAGGGACTTTTGTGACTGCTTTTTTCTTTTATTTTTTATTCTATATTTTTATTCATTTTGTTTTTGTTATGATTTGAAACAACATATTTGTCTATTTAATTGAAAAATATTTATTGTCAACAATGTTAAAAATACCTAAAAGTTATTTTGAGTGTTTTTTTTTTCATTTTTATTTTATATTTTTAATTTTTTTCTTATTTTTGTATGATTTGAAGCAAAATATGTTTGGCTATTTTTATAAAGAATATTTATTTTTAATAATGTTAAAAATACCAACAAATGTTTTGAATGTTTTCAAAAACATGTTAATTTGATTTAAGAAACAAAGAATAAAAGGAAGATTTACATACATACCACTCTAACACTCAAAACTTCAAGTTCTATATAGATGCCACCTTCCGCTGCATGAAAATGTGTATTTCATATTTTAAAAGTTAAAATAGAAATATTTTTTAATGAGATATTAAAGATTTTGACAGTAGCAATATAATAATTAGAGTTTAGGTATTAGATACTTAAATACATAAGAATTTGGTGGTATGTATGTAAATGCCCCAAAATAAAATTGATCCCAAACGAACAGCAAGGGTTTGGAAACTGCAGATTAAGTAATCACTAACTTGCTTGTGGTTCAATATTAATTTGGCGCTTTAAAATAAAAAAAATATAGAAATTCTCAATCAAAAAAGGAAAAAATAAAAAAACTCTAAATACTTGTAGAACCAATTCTGATCTATCCATTCTTTCACTTTTGCAGACACAACATATATAATATGAAGAGATTAAATTCCCAATCGAAATACTTAATTGATCGTTTTATTTTATTTTTTTCGCTTTGAATTTATCTAATGCTAAAGTCAATTGCCTTGTGTTGTGTATTAGAAAGCATATTAAATTTGTGGGTGCATTAAATAAAAATTTTCCATTATATTTATTTATTATCCAAGGAAAAAAATTTGACTAAATTCACTAATGATCTGAATATTTTATAAATAGACATTTATAAATATTTATGCTGCTTTGCAGCATGAATAAAAAAAGTATGCTGCTATTTAATTTATCTGAAAGAAATAATTTTTTAACCATTTTTCTAACAGCTTAATGTGACTAAGCACATTAAAACAATGTGGTACTAATTTCATCATCTATCTAGTTGTATTCGTTATATTTTCATATATTACCGAAATTTACTCTACAATTTTCATTCACTAAAGTAATTAATCAACAAATTTGTTCAAAATTTAAATGCTTAAAATTCATTATAAATTTTAATATTTGAATTACAATTTGACTAGAAATAATTAGATAAAAATAATTGATTTATTCTCTCAATTTGGTCAACGGCATAGAACCTATGTCATACATATAGGCTGTTTTAAGGTCTGATGGAAGTAGTGAGCAAAAAAGGTCAAAGTTAGCAAAATTAAAGGTAGTGCGATTCGATAGAAATGACTCACAATATTTTTATTTCATCTCATAATAATATACATATTAAAATTCCATCATTAAGATGGAGCAAAAGAAAACAATAGAAAGAAATTCCATCAAAATTAAGGATCTGGGTACCCGTCTGAAAATATTACGAATAAATAGCAAGAAAAAAATTTTAAATAATAATAATAAGATATATATGTCCATATAACTTATCATTCAGCAAAGAAAACAAATAGAATTGACTGAATAAAACTAAGTCACAATACTAGATAAATTAAAAGATTCCTCTAATGTAAAAGTACGCTGCTGGTACAACTTACAATTTCTGCGGAAACAAACAAAAACAGCACGAGCATCTTGACAAGAATAATTCACAATGTAAAACAGCGAATGTTGCAATAAGCATAATTAGTACAAATTTTACACCAACTAGGACATTTGGTACGAATACTTCTATGCTTGCAAATGGAATTTCATTAGGAGCCCTGAAGCAAATGGAAGGCTTACTAAATAATAGGCCATCATTAGCTGAAAATCCAACGGTCGATTAAATGACTTCTCTGTGTCCTCCAAAGGCCCAGATCTGCCACCAGAAACAAATGCAGATATTACAGAATTTAAAGATAAAAGGCTCATCTGTCTGTCCAATATCAAAGGTTTTGAAATAGTAAAAAATGTCCGACTTAGTCTCTGGACTCTCTAAATATGAGCTAAAATAATCCTTCATATCAATTAAAGAAAATTGTAGTTAATGATGTTAAAAGCAAGAATGTTGTTTCAGGATAACATATTTTCTTCTTGAATATTTTAATAAATCAAACTTTCTAATAAACTTATTTCCTCATATATAACAGCTAACTTCACAGACTGCATAAGTGAAATTGAGATCGGGTTGCAAACCTAGTTAATTTTTTAAAATAAATAGTCTTACTTGACATTTTGATTTTCTTGATTCCTTCGTAAAAAAATAAATTGAGTTTAATATTCTTACAATGAATCAAGATAAATAAAATTATTCATTAAAAAAAAACTAGCTTGCTCAGCAACATATACAATCTCAAACCACTTCTATTGAATATAAAATTAGCTGCAACACACAAAAAAATTAAAAAATACTATTTTAAAATCTAGATTTAATAAAAAATGAAGAAAAAAAATATTTTTTTCTAGAACACCTTAATTTTTTTATAGAATTAACATCAATTTCCGTAAATTTATATGACAACTATTTTAACTCAGATGAGGTCTCACAAAGTCTAGAACTAAAACAACCCCCCACAATAGTAGTGAAACCAATTCAATCTTTTTCTCATTAATAAATTTAGAAGTTCATGAATGCATTTATGCGCCTATCGAACTTATTTATAAGCCAAACTAATAATTTGTCTTGAAAATACAAGACCAATAAACAAAGTTTGTCCCATTAATAAAGAAGCCAGAATTAACTAAATCTGGATTGAATCGAATCATCCTATCCAAGGACAAAATCAATTTTGGAGATTAGATCGAATGGCTTTGAGCTGAGGTAGAGTTCGTTCAGGATTGGAGTTCACAGCCCATCACTGAATCACATTCTGGCTAATGCGGCAAAGCATCCATGGAAGACCTGGCTTAAGTGAAGCAGGCCATTACATCTTTTTGGGGGCAGGGCTCATATAAATTAAGAGTTTACAATTACAGAAAGCTAAATGTTCGAAATCTGACAACATTTCCATAAAATCTAAATAACATGAATGATGGATTGTTAACAAAAGCTTGCGGAATCAGATAAACTCAAGTGGAAAAAATAAACCTCATAAGCAAAATCATTTCATGCCATTGATATCATAATGCCATAAAATTTGAAAATGAATCAACAAAGTAAAAGTTGGGTTTTAGCAATATATAATACGGTAAAACACATTCATGGTCATCATTATATACAAAAAGGAAAAAGAGATGGAAAAAGAAAAAAAAAAGAAAAAATACACCCATGGTCATGGGCAATAAAATCAATCTTATTGCAAAATAATAACTGCTGACCTTCAGTTTTTTGTCATAGCTTCCTGTGCACAAGGCACTGCCATCGGAAGACAAACCTAGACAACTTATAGTACCCTCATGTGAGTTCTGCAGAGACCCCAAGTTGAGAACTACCTGAGCCAATAAAGAAGAAAATATTAAACAGAGATGAAGCCTTCTACCCAAATATTATATCTTCATTAAATAACTGACAGAAGTCTCCGATTAAATAAATAAATATATAAATATAGTGGGTGTAAGCAACAAAAAAGCTAATGGATTAGAACACTTGATGTATTCTCAACAAAAGACCACAATTAAATAAAGCTCAGCGAGAAGAATCTCAGCCTACGGAAAGTTTATGGCACTTATCGTTGAAATGAGATAGACATCATTCTAAATTCTTTCTCCGATATGGCCACTAATCACTAAATGTAAAAAAACATCAAAAAGCATAACTGATTCACCATCCAGAGGTATGAAAATTATGAATGAAAATTAGATGTTGCATAAGTCATGTCAATAGGATCTAAAACATATTTGATGATTTCAGCAGTCAAATGTCCATTCATTAAACAATTCAATTGGAAGAGCCATCTAGCAGCTTCCAAACAATTTTATTTAGTTTAATGAGCTTAATAAAATAAAAATCATGAGCTATTATTGATCACTTCTAGCTTTTATCTTTATAAGTACAGGTAAAGTAGTGCGACACTATAAAGTTATCTTAAAAAAAAAGGAATAATGAAAGGCTAATAGCCCTAGAGAAAGAAATGCTAAACAAGTTAATTGGAAAGAGATGAACTTCCACAGTGAATAGGGCAAAAAAATATATTTTACTTCACCACACAAAACAACACAATTTAAATACAAAAAAGATAAACACCTACAATTCGAGCGATAAGAGATCTCTCTCTCAAACCCTACCCCTATGGTTCCAAATAATAATCACATATCGCCTAATCCTAAACATACTAAATACTTTTATACCCCAAAATAATAACTAACAAATCACTACATTGCCCTTTTAGTCTTACGAATAACACAAGTCTTCAAACTATTTTGGCGGGCTCGACGTCGACTCAGTGGAGTACGAGGTAGACGGAATCGTAGGCACCGGTCTAACATTACTTTCTTCCCAAAAAGACACATTATCCTCAAAGTGAAAGAGAGAAAATTATTGTTGAAGCAAGCTATATGACTCTCATGTGATGTCATAATCAGGCAATCATTTCCATTTCACTAGAAATTCATAGTGACATGAGTTAGAAATACAGATATGTGCACATTCATCGACCATGTTCAGATCTGATGGTATCATGACTTCAAATTAATCATTAAGAATACCACAGCCTCAAATAATTCATCAGTAGCTCATCGATCACCAAGATAGGAAATTTGTCATGTATATTTCCTCATTAATTCATCGATAATCCACGCTAAAATGCTAACTTCAACCCTTCTTCACTAGCAATATTGGGCTAGAGAAGGGGTTCACACTAGGTTGAATTATCCCGACCTCCAATATCTCTCTAATCAATCTCTCGATCTCATCTTTCTATACCTGAGAGAAGCAGTATGGCACACACCGATGGGAGAAACGTACAATCTCTGGGTTATTGCATATTCATGTTCCCTCTAAGGCGGCAATCCCTGTCGCAATTGAAAAGCATTTGCAAATTATTGCAGTTGTTGGATCATTGTCAAAATCTCTATTAAATTGATGCCATGTGTCTCTTCCATACTATGCAACTCAATCAAGAATCTCAACTCTGCATCTTGTATTGCCCTACCATGGTTCTTGCACAAACTAAAGTCACCGCGAAGCACCACCATCCTGTCTCCCTTCTGAAACTTCATTTTCAAGAGTCTCAAATTCATCTTAGTCTCCCCTAAAGATTGCAACCATTTCATGCCCAATATCAATGGCCAATATCACGTCAATGTTCCCTTAGTCAAAGGGAAGAAACTCCAGTATCTGAATACCTTGCAGTGTTAAAATTACCCCTTTACAAACTCTTTGCTCTTCTCCACTTGTGTCGTCCCCATCATGACTCCAAAAATTTTCTTGCCAACCATCACAAGCCCCAATTGCTTCACAATTTAAGTAAAGATGAAGTCGTGAGTGGGTCCCACTATCTATCAAAACTACCATGTCCTGCACTTTGACCTGTCCCAAAAGTTTGATCGTGTGGCTTGATGTTAAGCCCATCGCTGAGTTCAATGAAACATTGTCCACACCCACAACTGAGGGTGTTCCTCCTCCACCACAACAGCCTCTTCTATTTCTTGATCCTCAACCTCCTCATCCCACATTGTGTGAACATTTAAGATCTGATCCTTGCAACGATGTTCTAGAGCAAACTTCTCATCGCACCAAAAACATAACCCATTGATTCACTTCTTTCAAGTCTCGCCTTTATAAGACATTTGAATGTCGCCCCTGGACGTAGCCCATTATTCCTATCCTATCATCGTGGTTGTAGCATTTCGATATGATAATCCACTTGTGTTGTGCCTATTAGCCTATTCCAATGCATTTTTATCTTCAATCCATTCCATTAATTCCATAGTTTCACCCAAACCTCACAGATCAAAAGACGAAGTGTTGCTCGAATTTCTGACTTCAACCCTTTCATGACATTTCGTTTCAACGCTATGTTACATCGGCGCCTACGGCATCCTTCCCCTCGTACTCCACTGACTCGACCACGAGAATGTTAAAATAGTTTGAAAATTATGTTATGCGTAAAACTAAAAGAGCAACTTAGTCATTTATTAATTATTATTATGGGGTATAAATATAGATAATATGTTTATGGTTAGGATAAATGATTGTTGTCTTGAATTTTAGGGTTAGGGTTTAGAAGAGATCACCCACCTCTCAAATTGCAAGTGTTTATCTTTTTTATGTATTCAGGTTGTATTGTTTGGTGTTGATGAAATATATATATATATACATATATAGTATTCTGTCCTAATTTTTGTGAAAATTACTATCAAATTATTATGCGTAAAACTAAAAGAGCAACTTAGTCATTTATTAATTATTACTATGGGGTATAAATATGGATAATATGTTTATGGTTAGAGGATATATGATTGTTGCCTTGAATTTTAGGGTTAGGGTTTAGAAGAGATCACTCACCTCTCAAATTGCAAGTGTTTATCTTTTTTATGTATTCAGGTTGTATTGTTTGGCGTTGATGAATATATATATATATATATATTATTTTGTCCAATTTTTTGTGAAAATTCCTATCAAATTGGTCTTATATCGTTTCGTTGCGCTCCGCCATTCAGAAATCATCGAGGCGACAAATTAGAATTTCAAGAATTGATCCAATGAGCCACGTCTCTAGCGTTTAAGCAATGTGTGGGCGCCGACGAGAAATAATCACAATTTGACCAAGCAGGAAGCTGAAGGGAACGTAGCATACAAGCATCTCTGACACGACCGCCCGTCGTGAATCAATCGTGTTCAACCTAGCTGGGAAGCAAACCAGATCACGATGTACATTCATATCGGCGGCAACGCCTTCGTGAATGAACTTTGTGATTTTAGCTAGCTAGGAAACCAACGACGAGATTAAAACTTACAAGATTCTACACTTCATGATTGAAAATCTTCTTGGGAGTAATGACAGCCAAGAAAGTATAGACTTTGGAGGAGAATTAAAGAAAGATGTGAGCCAAATTAGACTTGAAATAGAGAAGCGCCTCTTAGCCATGAAAGAGAGGTTCTCGTCCATCGAGTGGAGATTCATGGCTCTGGAAGAAATAATGAAGAAGAACATGAAGGTTCACACAAAACCTCCCCTGCTCGTCGCAGGATCAAGCGATGGCATCTGGAGCAGACGCGAACGACAACAATCTGAAAGATTTTTGCAACATAAATGCAGCATCGCTGCTTTAGGCAGATTTGGAGACATGAGATCGAGCCAAGGAATCAGGAGCAAAATCGAGCAGCAAAACTTAAAAGGAATAGTGCAACTTTGCAGGTGGGATCGAGCGAAGGAGTCGGAAGGGGATTCGAGTGGCAATATCTAGAGGGAATTGTGCGACATCTCGATGTTTGTAAAAAGTAGCAGTAGGAGGAATGGGATGACATGCAATTTGAGGTTAGTGAAGATTGATTCGAAGGATTTTGCCAAGAATAGGAAACTACGGTGGGTCGGATCACGACGATGGGTTGTATCCAACCGCTACAGTGCTTTTGCTACGGTAGCCTTCCAGGTGGAAAGCAGTTCAGAAGTTTATGGGGAAGGGCGGGCTAATTATGGGGCAAGTCTGTCTTGTGGAAGAAGGAAAATCAATATAGGTAAATGAAGAGAAAATAACCCCTGCCTCATAGGTGGAATGAACTTTGGTTGAGGAAATTAGAAAGGCGACTCACACAAAAGAATGTTGAAAATGTCAATACTTGAAGGAGAGGATGCATATGGTTTGGTTTATCATGTGGAGCGATATTTTGTTATTAATGGAATGAAAGAAAAAGAAAAATTGATAGGAGTGGCCTTGTGTTTGGAAAGGAAGACTCTAATATAGTATCAGATAGAGAACAACGTCAGCCAATTAAAACAGGGGGAGAATTCAAGGACAGAGTGGTGGAGAGTTTTAAAATTGTTGGATCATAAATTGTCTCGTGGATCACACCCAAGGAATAGAGCATCAGCCGCGGGAAAGAAAAAAAAAATTAACACTTATATTTCTAGTGAGAATTTCATTCGGAAATGATCTTTCTATTTAAATTTCATAAGCAGGAACTGGTAAATTACATAATTGTCCCCATTTAAAAATGGGACTTTACTATAATTAATAAGTCATTACAATTACACATTTGTAATTGAATAACATTTATTTTGACCCCGTAACCGTTGTTAGCGTCGTTATATTTTTGTAACTGCCTTAAATACTGTTTTACATTCATAACAAACCAATTTAGTTTCTTGAAATTCGTTCAGTCGACCAGGATTTATTCAGCCGACCAAACATCCTTTGGTCGACTTTATGATCTTCGATCGCTCATTCTGAGGAAATCGAATGTGAAGACCTATCATCCTTGAGTATAATTGTTTCATCGGGTAGAGGGTGAATCAATGTAATTTGACAAACAATCTACTTTCGGTCATGTG